GGGGATGCGATCTGTGAAACTGTCGCCACTTACGAGGCCTGCTGGGGGGTCCGGCATAGAGGGTAACCGCGGGAGATTCAAATTAGACATCGCCATCCCTGGGGTTGCGATCTGTGAAACTGTCGCCACTTTCGAGGCCTGCTGGGGGGTCCGGCATAAAGGGTAATTGCGGCAGATTCAAATTAGACCTCGCCATCCCTGGGGGGCTGCGATCTGCGAAACTGTCGCCATTTTCGAGGCCTGCTGGGGGGCCCCGCACAGTGAGGGCCACGGGCTGATTCAAATTAGACCTAGCCATCCCTGGGGGGCTGCGATTTGCGAAACTGTCGCCATTTTCGAGGCCTGCTGGGGGGCCCAGCACAGTGAGGGCCACGGGCAGATTCAAATTAGACCTCGCCATCCCTGGGGGGCTGCGATCTGCGAAACTGTAGCCATTTTCGAGGCCGGCCTGCTCGGGGGCCCAGCACAGCGAGGGCCACGCGCGGATTCAAATTAGACCTCGCCATCCCTGGGGGGCTGCGATCTGCGAAACTGTCGCCATTTTCGAGGCCTGCTGGGGGGCCCATCACAGTGAGGGCCACGCGCGGATTCAAATTTGACCTCGCCATCCCTGGGGGGCTGCGATCTGCGAAACTGTCGCCATTTTCGAGGCCTGCTGGGGGCCCAGCACAGTGAGGGCGACGGGCGGACCCAAATTAGACCTCGCCATCCCTGGGGGGCTGCGATCTGTGAATCTGTCGCCATTTTCGAGGCCTGCTGGGGGGGCCAGCACAGTGCGGGAACGCGCGGATTCAAATTAGACCTCGCCATCCATGGGGGCGGCTGCGAATCTAGCGAAACTTGCCGCCAATTTTCGAGGCCTGCTTGGGGGCCCAGCACAGTGAGGGCCACGGGGCAGATTCAAATGAGACCTCGCCATCCCTGGGGGGCTGCGATCTGTGAACCTGTCGCCACTTTCGAGGGCTGCTGTGATCCCCGTTTTCGAAGTGGCTAGGAGTGCTCAGGAATTGTAAATCATCAGCTTTATCAAGCCCTTTTCCTGTAGCCAGTGTCCTGCGAGTCTCCCGAATTCCGTCTGCAGACATATGTAACCCTCGCTCCGTCATCGCCCCCTTATAAAGTATCCAAAACTATTTGCGCCCCGCTGTTGCGCAGGGGTTGGGTACGTCGCCAGGGTAATTATTTAAAACAATAAAGAATAAAAACATAAACAACTAAGACAAGCAACTAAAACAAAACAGAAAAAACTGGGTTTTCGACTGCAGCCCGAGTATCAGACCAGGACGGGCGGTGGCCAAGACGGACGCGACGCTTCCGCGTGCCGTCCCGGTCGTGGCCCCCGTGCCCCTTCCCCTCCGAGGCGAGCTCGGCGGCGCGCGGGCCGAGCTGCAGAGCCTGCGGGCGGGCGTGGATGCCGCGCGGGCGGCGGCGCGCGCAGAGGCGGCCGACGCAGGCGCGGCTGCCGTGCGCGCGGCGAGCGAGCCACAACACACACACACACAAACGCACACAGACACGCACGCACGCACACACACACAGGCAGGCACGCACGCGCGCACGCACGTGCGCAAACACACGCACGCACGCACGCACGCAAGCACGCCCGCACACAAGCTCACACACAATCGCACACACAATCGCACACAACCGCGCGCACAATCGCACACAGACACACACAGGCACACACAGACGCACATAACACACAGATACACCACACAACACGCACAGCACGCAACACACAACACACAATGCATAACACACACGACACAACACACACAACACAACATACACAAACACACAAACACACATGCACACAACACACAACACACAACACACAACACACAACACACAACACACAACACACAACACGCAACACACAACACACAACACACAAACACACATACATCCAGACACACAGACACAAACACACAGACACATGCATAAGAAAGAGCGTGTTCTACCGCTGCTGGCGGAAAACCGGGGGGAGTCACTACCGGTTCGAACCCCCCCCCTCCGGAAAACCGGGGGGGGTCACTACCGGTTCGACCCCCCCCAGTCCATCAATCATGAAAAGGGGGGGTGGTCACTACCGGTTCGAACCCCCCCCCCGTCGAAAACGGGGGGGGGTCACTACCGTTTCGACCCCCCCCCCCCTCGAAAAGCGGGGGGGGTCGGACAGTGGTGGGGACGGTGGTGGTGGGGACAGTGGTGAGGAGACAGCGGGACAGTGGTGGGGACAGTGGGACAGTGGTGGGGACGGTAGTGGTGGGGACAGTGGTGAAGGCGGTGGTGAGGACAGTGGTGGGACAGTAGCACGGTGGGGAAAGTGGTGGGGACAGTGGGGACAGTGGGACAGTGATGGGGACAGTGGGGACGCTGGGACAGCACAGTGGGACAGCGGCGGGGACAGTGGGACAGTAGTGGGTACAGTGGGGACAGTGGGACAGTGGTGGGGACCGTGGAGAAAGTGGGGAGAGTGGGACCGTGGTGGGACAATGGTGGGGAGTGTGGGGACATTGACACACTGGTGGGGGCACTGGTGGGGACAGCTGGGACAATGGTGGGAACAGTGGGGACAGTGGGACAGTGGTGGGGACGGTGGTGGTGGGGACAGTGGTGTGGGGACAGTGGGGAATGTGGTGGAAACAGTGGGACAGTTGAGGGTACAGTGGTGGTGGGGACAGTGGTGAAGGCGGTGGCGAGGACGGCGGTGGGACAATGGGACAGAGGTACAGTGGGGACAGTGGTGGGAACAGTGGGACAGCTCAGTGGGACAGCGGAGGAGTCAGTGGGACAGTGGGGACAGTGGGGATAGTCGGGCAGTGGTTGGGGCCGTGGAGACAGGTGGGGAGAGTGGAACCGTGGTGGGAACAGTTCTGGGGACAGCGGGGACAGTGCGACAGTGGTGGGGCCACTGGTGGGGACAGTAGGGGCGGTGGTGGAACCAGTGGGGACAGCGGTGGTGAGGACAGTGGTGCTGGGAACAGTGGGGTGTGGTGCGGACGGTCGTAGGGCCCGGAGTCGTTTGCTCGGCGGTGAGGGGGGGGAGGGGTTCGACGGTGGTGACCGCCCCCGGGTTTCGAGGAGGAGGAGGGTGGGGGTTCGAACGGGTAGGACCCCCTTCGTTTGAGGGGAGGGGGGGGGGTTCGAACTGGAAGTGACCACCCCCGGTTTTCGACGGGGGGGGGGTTCGAACCGGTAGTAACCCCCCTTGGTTTTCTGGAGGGGGGTGGGGGGGTTCGAACCGGTAGTGACCATCCTCTGGTTTTCTGGGGGGGGTGGAACCGGTAGTGACCCCCCCGGGTTTTCCGAGGGGGGGTTGGAGGGTGAAAGAGGGGGTCTGCAACAGGGGGTCTTCAATGAGGGCTGAATGGCCCATGTGTGCTCAATGTATCGCTCATGTATGTGATCGGGTACGATTGGCATCCAATGTTGGCGGTCATTGAGGGCCAGTCGTTCGTGCCCGCGTGTTGCCCGCGCGGGCACACGCGCCGTCCATCCATTATCGTTCATGCGTGCGGGCGCTCTTGCATATTGCGCGTGGGGCGGCGAAGTGGAGTGCAAGTGTGTCTTGATTGTGCGATTGATGATCGCGTATGTCCCCAAACGATGACTTCTCGACCCCCAAGACAGATTTGGAATGGGTCCCGCGTTTCTCCCAAAATGTGAATTCACATTGTCCTTTTCCAATCTGTGAATTCACATCTTCCTTTTTTCCCCAGGGTGTGAATTCACATTCTGGCCCCTTCTTTAAGAATCCCACACACGATAAAGTTCATATCATTTTTCTCCATAGTGTGAGTTCACATGGTCCTTTTTTCCCAGATGTGAATTCACATTCTGCTTTCCATACTGTGAATTCACATTTTGCCCTGGCCTTCAAGATCCCCCAAACTGAGGCGCAGTGTTCCGCATGTCAGATTGGCTGGGCAGGTTTCGACACTCACCTGACCGCTTTCGTTTGTTCCAGCCTCTTTTTTTTGCGCCCTCAGCGCACGTTGCCTTCGTCGCCTTTCTCGAGCTCCCCGCCCCCTTGCTGTCTTTCCCCTCAAGTCTCGCGCATGGGTGCAGGCTGGGGGCTTCAATTGGTTCCCCCGCCGAACACAGCAATCGAGGATGTATCGCCCATTCATGGCCAATAAAGACATCATTGCTGGGACCGTGCGCCCGACTCCAACTTTCACCCTCCAAGGGGGGTGTGGGGGGGGGATGGGGTTGAACCAGAAGTGACCCCCCCCGGTTTTCTGGAGGGGAGGGGGGGGGGTGGGGGGTTAGGGGAGGAGGGGTTTTGCCGGGGGAGGGGAAGGGGTCCAGCAAAGGGGGGGAATTTCGGAATGGGGGGGGGAAAACCCCGGGTTCCGGAGGAAGAGGGGGGGGGAATTTTCCACACTAGAGCGGCGGTGGGTCACGCTTTCTCTCATACATACAGAGACACACGCACACACACTCAGACACACAGAAACACAGACACACACAGGCACACACAGACACACACACAGACACACACAGTCATACACACGAACTCACACAGACGCACACAGACACACACAGACACACACACAGAAACACAGATATGCACACACACAGGCACACAGACACACAGACACACAGACACGCACGCAAACACACAGACACACACACAGACACACACAGACACACCCGCAGGCACACACAGACACACGCACACAGACACGCACAGCCACGCACACAGACACAGAGACACACACAGACGGACACACACACGCACACACAGACACACACACACAGACACACATTCACAGACACACACACACACAGACACACACACACACAGGCACACACAGACACGCACGCAGACAGACACACAGACACACACAGACACACACAGGCCTGTAGCCATTTTGGATCAAGCTTGCCTTGTGCAGGAAGTGCGGGGCGTCTCTCTCCCTGTAGAGTCCCCTCGCCTCGGCGGGCACAGGGCACGGCTCTGTCCCTTTCCCCTCCTCGTCGCGGCCCCTGCGATGGCGGCGGTGCGCGACGACAGCAAGGCGATGGATCTACGGTCCAACGGCGGCGCGGGGCTGGTCATGGCGATGGCCGTCCAGGGCGCTGCTCAGGGAGCGGCGGCGGGCGGCGCCTCGCGGCAGGCGATCGTCGCCGCGGTTGCTGCCGCGCTGCGCACGGCATGGGCGCTGCTGGCAGGCGTCGGCTCTGAGGAGGATGCCGAGCTCGCGATGCGCGAGCAGGCCATGGAACTCGCCATGCGCCAGCAGGTGCGGGGCGCCCAGCCAGGCGGCGCCGCTCGCGCCAGGCGCATCGTCGGGGCGCACGTCGACTTCGGCAAGGACGTCGAGGCCTTGCGGCATGCCCTGGCGCAGCCTCAGCGGGCCCAGCGCGGCGGGCGCTGCGGGCCTCGCGTGCCGGCGCCGCCGGGCCCGGAGGAGGCGGACGTCGGCGACGCACTTTCGTCCCCGCCCCCGACGCCCGTGGCGGCGGCCTTGGGCGCGACGGAGGCCCCGAGCTCCTCCGACGGCGCGGCGCTGGGCCACGCCCCGCCCTCCCCGCTCCTGGGGCCGAGCGCGGCGGTGGGCGAGGAGGAAGCGGACGTCGAGAGCCCCTTCGAGGGCCACGCCGACGGCGTCAAGTTGGAGGGCAACACCAGCTTGGACATCGGCCAGCCAGACGTGGACGAGCGCGAGGGCACCGACGAGGTCATCGACGCCCCCGAGGACCAGATGAGCGACGAGGCAGACGAGCGCCCCCTCGAGGGCGGCAGCCTGGGCACCTCGGAGGTGGGTGCGGCCAGGAGCGACGGCTGCCAGGACGTGCGCGGCGCCGAGGTGCAGGCGACCGAGGGCCCCGTCGAGGTGGCCCCCCTCTTCGAGGACGTAAGACGGAGACGGAAACGGGACGGAGGTCGTGCGCCGCGGAGGTCGACGAGACGCAGGTCTGCGCTGCCAGACCTTTGCCGAGACGGAGGTCGTGCGGGGCCGCCGCCGAGCGCCGCCGAGGGCGGCGAGCGTGTGCGTGGCAGCCCGTGGCAAGGGCGCAGCTGCGCCTCGGACGTGGGCGCGTGCCAGCAGCGCAGACTGGCACCTCGTGCACCTGCGGGGGCGGCCCGCCCGAGGGTGGCGCCTCGACCTCGCGCAGGCGGCGCGGCTCGCCGAGCCCATGGCGCCGCCGCCCTTCGCCTCGGGTCCTTGTTGGTGGAAGCAGGACGTCGACGAGGTGATCGCGAAGGTGCACGGGGGCCCCGCGGCGAAGGGCCGCCTCAGGAGCGCGGGCGTGGACGAGAAGAAGGTCGAGGGCCTCTTCTACGAGCGTTCCGACGACTGCGGCGCGCTGGGCATTGAGGGCCAGGCGGGGAACGGGGGCCCCGAGGCTCGCGTTTCTTTGGGGCGCGACGGCGGCGGCGGCGGCTCCCAGGGGCACGACGGCGGCGACGTGGAGTCCGCCGCCCAGCCCCTCGCGCCCTCCACCCGGCGGCAGAGGCGGCACCGGCAGAGGCAGGAGGACGAGCAGGCGGCGAACGACGACGACTTCGTTCTCCCCTCGATCTTCGCCAGGATGGAGGAGTCGTGGAGGCCCAACGGCGGACCCAGATCAGCTACATGGACGAGCTGACCAAGATGCGTGCGCTCTGAGCGCAGGAGCTATCCATGGCTCTGCGCAGCGGGGCGGCGGGCGCCATCGACGAGGCCGAGGCGCGCCTTCGGGCAGCTGTGGATCGGCTTCGTCAGGCCGAAGCCGAGTTCGACAGCAAGACGGCCCTCTTCGAGCAGCGGCGCGAGACCTTGCAGCGAGCCTTGGAGTGTCAGCAGCAAGAGTGTCAGCTGCGCGGGGCAGCGGGAGTGCCAGCTGCATGGATGGCCTCGCGAATGATGGGATGGCCGCTGCGCCTGCGCCTCTTCGCGGGAGCGGGTTCCGCCTGTGAGGGGCCCCGGCGGTGGGGATGTTGCCCCCCTTGGCGCGGTCTCCGCCGTGGCTGGGGGGCCTGAGGGGCGGCCCGTCCCTTGGGGGGTGTCTGGGCCCGCGTTTCGCAGTTGGCGGGGCCTGGGCTTTGCGGAGCAACCTCGCAGTTTTGGCCCCCCTTCGGCACGGGCGCGCATGGGGGCCTGGGGTGGGGTGCGGTCCCGAGCGGGCCCTGGGTCCGCCTCCCTGAGCTGGCGCGGCGCTCGGCGGAGGCGTGGGCGGCCTTCCCGAGGGCGGCTCGGCGGGCGGTCAGCTCGAGGGCCCTCCGCGGCTCGGCAGGCGGCCAGCTTGAGATCCCTGCGCGCGGCTGCGGCGAGGTGCGGGCGCCCCGCAACGACAAGGCACCGAACGCACCGAACACACACACACGCACACATGCACACACCGACACACTCACGCAGACACACCCACAGACACAAAGACACACACGCAGACACACGCATACCGACACACACGCAGACGCACACACAAACACCGACAGGCACGCACACCGACAGACACACACATAGACAGACGCACACACACACACGCAGACACACACACACACACACATACACGCCACGCACGCACGCACGCACACACGCACGCACGCACGCACGCATGCACGTACGCACCCACACGTACACATACACATACACACATACATGCACATGCACATGCACATGCACATGCACATGCACATACACATACACATACACACATACACACATACACACATACACATACACATGCACACATACGCATACGCATACGCATGCACATACACATACCCACCGGTCGTTGAAAGTAGGTATTTTTGGATTCCCAGATCCCAATCTACTTTAAGCGCCTTCCTATTTCAAGAATCTATACTTTTTGTTTTTTTGGGGGGCGGGCGCAAACCTAATCTACTTCTAGGGTTTGCTTGTCACTTCCCTGGGCGACGCTGGTCGCTCGGCCCCTCGGCTGGCCCCATTCCTTGGTTTTGATTGTTTTGTTTGTTTTCGCTTGTCCGTCGGCTGCACTGGTCGCCCAGTGTCGCCCGCCGCCCCGCGGTCGCTCGGCCTGGCCCCACTATTTGGTTTTGTTTGTTTTTGATTGTTTTCGCTTGCCCGTCGGCTGCACTGGTCGCCCCAGCTCGCCACCTACTCCGGTCGCTCGCCCCCTCGATGCCCCATCCTTGGTTTGTTTGTTTGTCCGTTTTCGATGTCCGTCGGCGCATTGTTCACATCAGGCTGCCCGCCGCCCCGCGGTAACTCGGCCCCCGGGCGGGCCCCATTATTGGTTTTGTTTGTTTTGTTGTTTGCTTGTCCGTCGGCTGCACTGGTCGCCCAAGGCTCGCCCGCCGCCCGCGGTCGCTCGGCCCCTTCGCGTGTCCACATTTCTTGGTTTTGTTTGTTTTTGTTTGTTTCGCTTGTCGTCGGCTGGCACTGGTCGCCCCCAGCTCGCCCGCCGCTTTCCCCTCTCGGTTCGCTCAGGCCTCGGCTGCTCATTTTTTGTTTGTTCGTTGTGTTTGCTTTTGCTTGTTTTCGCTTGTCCGTCGGCTGCACTGGTCGCCACAGGCTCGCCCGCCGCCCCCCGGTCGCTCGGCCCTTCGGCTGGCCCCATTCATTGGTTTTGTTGGTTTTTGTTTGTGTTCGCTTGCCCGTCGGCTGCAATGGTCGCCCCAGGCTCGCCCGCCGCCTTTCGGTCGCTCGGCCCCTCGGCTGGCCCCATTCCTTGGTTTTGTTTGTTTTTGTTTGTTTTCGCTTGCCCGTCGGCTGCAATGGTCGCCCCAGGCTCGCCCGCCGCCCAGCGGTCGCTCTGCCTTTCGGCTGGCCCCATTCCTTTGTTTTGTTTGAGTTTGATTGTTTTCGCTTGTCCGTCGGCTGCACTGGTCGCCCCAGGCTCGCCCGCCGCCTGAGATTGTTTTTTTATCCTCTGGGGGGTAACGCTCGTTACCCGGGCCTCTCCCCCCCCCCCCCCCCCCGTAACGGTAACGCTCGTACGCGGGGGGGGTTTCGGTCTTCCCCTCCAACATGCTGGTGCCCGAAGGCATGCGCACTGTGGTGTGGTGGTCGCAGGCGCACTGTGGGCGCTCGCAGGCCATTGCGGCGCTCGCATGCGCGATGCTGGTGATTGCGGGCTTTGCGCTTGTACTCGAATCGTCGTCGTCGTCGTCGACGGCGCCCGAAAAACGGCCTCCGGAGTCCGACAAAGGCACAAAAACAACGTCGTCGTCGTCGTCGTCGTCGTCGTCCTCGTTGCCGTCGTCGTCGTCGTCGTCGTTGTCGTCGTCGTCGTCGTCGTCGACCTCGACGCTCGTCGCTCGTCGATCATCGTCGTCGCGCGCGCGGGCGCGGGCGTGGTGCCGGGACCACGCGGCGGGCTTTGCGCTTGTACTCGAATCGCAAGCCACTGTGGTGCTCTCAGGCAGAGAGTGCTGCTCGCGCGCATACTATGGCGATCGCAGAGCGCCCCTGCCTCGCCATACCCCGCCCAGCCCAAGCGTTACCGTTACCCGGGGGGCACGACCCCCCCCCCCCGGGTAACGAGCGTTACCGGCCGGAATAAAAAAATGATTTTTGTCGGTCGCTCGGCCCCGCGGCTGGCCCCATTATTTGGTTTTGTTTGTTTTTTTTTGTTTTGGTTTGTCCGTCGGCTGCACTGGTCGCCTCAGGCTCGCCCGCCGCCCTGCGGTCGCTCGGCCCTCGCGGATGGTCGACTTCTTGGTTTGTTCGTTTGTTTTGTTTTCGTTGTCCGTCGGCTGCACTAGTCGCCGCAGGCTAGCCCGCGCCCCGCGGTCGCTCGCGCCCTCGGTTGGCCCAATTAATTGGTTTTGTTTGTTCTCGTTTGTTTCGCTTGTCCGTCTGCTGCTCGCCCCGCCGCCCCGCGGTCGCTCGGCCTCTCGGCTGGCCCACCACCATCCGTTGGTTTGGTTGTTTGTTGTTTGCGGTTGTCCGTCGGCTGCACTGGTCGCAGGATCGCCGCCGCCCGCGGTCGTTCGGCCCATCGGATGGCTCAATCGTTGGTTTGTTTGTTTTTGGTGTTTCGCCTGTCCGTCGGCGTTTTGCTGGTGCCCCAGGCTCGCGCTGACGGCGCCGCCCCGCGGTCGCTCGGCCCCTCGGCTGGCCAGATTCGTTGGTTTTATTTGTTTTTGTTTGTTTTCGCTTGTCCGTCGGCTGCGCTGGTCGCCCTGCGCACACCCGCCGCTTCGGTCGCTCGACACCTCGGCTGGCCCCATTCCTTGGTTTCGTTTGTTTTTTGTTTGTTTTCGCTTGTCCGTCGGTTGCGCTGGTCGCCTCAGGCTCGCCCGCCGCCTTTCGGTCGCTCTGCCCTGCCCCTCGGCTGGCCAAATGCTTGGTTTTGTTTGTTTTTGTTGTTTTCGCTTGTCCGTCGGCTGCACTGGCCGCTCCAGGCTCGCCCGCAGCTTTTCGGTCGCTCGGCCCATCGGCTTGCTTATTTCCGTGGTGTTGTTTGTTTTGGTTTGTTTTCGTTTGCCCGTCGGTTGTACTGGTGGCCCCAGGCTCGCCCGCCGCCCCGCGGTTGCTCTGCCCTTCGGTTGCCCCAATTCAATTGTTTTCTTTGTTTTTGTTTGTTTTCGCTCCTCCGCGGCTGCGCTGGTCGCCCCAGGCTCTCCCGCCGCTTATCGGTCGCTCGGCCCTTCGGCTGGCCCCATTCCTTGGTTTTGTTTGTGTTCGCTTGTCCGTCGGCTGCACTGGTCGCCCCAGGCTCGCCCGCCGCCTTTCGGTCGCTCGCCCCCTCGGCTGGCCCCATTCCTTGGTTTTGTTTGTTTTTTGTTTGTGTTCGCTTGCCCGTCGGCTGCAATGGTCGCCCCGGGCTCGCCCGCCACCCTGCGATCGCGCTCTGCCTTTCGGTTGGCCCCATTCCTTTGTTTTGTTTGTGGTTGTTTGTTGTCGCTTGTCCGTCTGCTGCACTGGTCGCCCCAGGCTCGCCCGCCGCCCCGCGGTCGTTCGGCCCCTCGGCTGGCCAAATGCATTGGTTTTGTTTGTTTGTGTTTGTTTGCGCTTGTCCGTCGGCTGCACTGGTCGCCTCAGGCTCGCCCGCCGCCCTGCGGTCGCTCGGCCCCTCGGCTGGTCGATTTCTTTGCGTTTGTTCGTCGGTTGCACTGGTCGCCCCAGGCTCGCCCGACGCTCCGCGGTCGCTCGGCCCCTCGGCTGGCCCCATTCCTTGGTTTTGTTTGTTTTTGTTTGTTTTCGCTTGTCCGTCGGCTGCACTAGTCGCCCTGCGCACGCCCGCCGCCCCGCGGTCGCTCGGCCCCTCGGTTGGCCCAATTATTTGGTTTTGTTTGGTTTCGTTTGTTTTCGCTTGTCCGTCGGCTGCACTGGTCGCCCCAGGCCCGCCCGCCGCCCCGCGGTCGCTCGGCTCCCCGGCTTGCCAAATTGTTTGGTTTTGTTTTTTGTTTGTTTTCGCTTGTCCGTCGGCTGCACTGGTCGCCCCAGGCTTGCCCGCCGCCCCACGGCAGCTCGGCCCTTCGGCGGGCCCCATCCATGGTTTTGTTTGTTGCTGTTTGTTTTCGCTTGTCCGTCGGCTGCACTGGTCGCTCCAGGCTCGCCCGCCGCCCCGCGGTCGCTCGGCCACTCGGCTGGCCCCATTATTTGGTTTTGTTTGTTTGTGTTTGTTTGTTTGCGCTTGTCCGTCGGCTGCACTGGTCGCCCCAGGCTCGCCCGCCGCCCCGCGGTCGTTCGGCCCCTCGGCTGGCGCAATTCGTTGGTATTGTCTGTTTTTGGTTGTTATCGCTTGTCCGTCGGCTGCACTGGTCGCCCCAGGCTCGCCCGCCGCCCCGCGGTCGCTCGGCCCCTCGGCTGGCCAGATTCGTTGGTTTTCTTTGTTTTTGTTTGTTTTCGCTTGTCCGTCGGCTGCGCTGGTCGCCCTGTGCACACCCGCCGCCTTTCGGTCGCTCGGCACCTCGGCTGGCCCTATTCCTTGGGTTCGTTTGTTTTTTGTTTGTTTTCGCTTGCCCGTCGGTT